AATACTCGACCAATCTGAACCATTCTCGGCCAAATAACCTCTACTTTTCATGATTTTAAATGTTAAAATAACTTTCTTTTTAACTGACAAGCCACTATAAAATAAAAATATATATATAAAAACAGATTTTTACATCCTTACATGATTCTCAGATTTATCAAATCAAGATAGTTAAATTATCTAATTTTAAAGTCTGAGTCTTGTTAAATAGAAAAACTTTGTTTACCTGAAAACCACACCTATACTGAGGGTAATAAAACCTTATTAATGTGCTTTTTGTTTGGCATATGTTTTTTTTTTAATAAACTTGATTTTCCTAAATTTCTAAATAAAAACTACATAGGTTTCATTTTTACATACAACCTTGTACAGTTATATAACTATCTTTTTAATGAGGGTAACAACAGCCAAAAAAATCACTGTCAGACATTGCGTAACCTTAATATATCAGAAATATATCTATTCTTAATAATTTGGGATATATATATATTTTGAAAAAGGATAAAAAATTAAAGAAATGAATAAAATTTTTCTTCTGATTAGGGGTAAACTATAAAGTAATATATCCTGCTATGGGCACACTGATTAAAAAGATCACACCTGGTCAGAGAGTAATAAATTTTTAATTACATCCATTGAAAATTACAACATCCTGTAAAACTTAAATCACAAGGCCTTTTGAATTCACTAGATAAGTAATACACGAGTTCAAGAAATATAGGGTTTTCTTTTTACCTGTAAAACACAATTGAACTAAGGTAATTAAACCTTATTAAAGTGCTTCTTGTATGCCAAGTCTTTAATTTTGACAAAACATATTTAAATTTAATTAAAATAAATTTCTACTGTAACTTTAGAATACATTTCCTTTTTTAAAAGGTTATCAAGAATTGCTACGAAAGTTTTATTATTATTATTATTATTATATTAAACTCTTGGTTTTACAAAACAAAGGTGTCAATGTGAGCATTTATTAAGTTGCTTTATATACTATTTTATATATATATTTTGATATTTTATATATATTTTGATAAAAAAAAATTCTGATATTTTTGATGTACATCAAGCAATGTGAACATGATATCATGTATACAAAAATTCATTTGATGAAAACTTAATTTATTGCATGATATTTTTTTAATCCAACCAAAAACTACTTTCTTTGATCATCTTGTTTTATTTTTTTTTAAATGTGACATACACTGTATATATATATATGTATGTATAACACATGTAACAGTTTCTAAATTGATGAAATACAATAGATAGATACAAAAAACAGGTCTAGATTGGTTAAGACTTGGTCAAGTATGGTTCAGACTAGGTCGAGTATGGTTCAGACTAGGTCGAGCATGGTTCAGACTTAGTCGAGAATTGTTCAGACTATGTCGAGTATGGTTCAGACTCGTATAAAATGTTTTAGTACTAGTCGAGTAAAAGTACAGACTGTTAAGTATAATAATAATAATAATAATAAATTCTTTATTTAAAGAGGGTAAACTCAGTTAGTTACAATAAACTAATCTTCCCTGAGGCCCTCACATACAAATTACAATACAATCAAAAAACAGATATTTACACATAGTTAATTTACAGTCAATTAGTTCAATGTAATATTACTAACATGATAAGATATAAGGCTGTTCAAGATGTACATGTAGTCAAAAAATCAAATACAAATATAAATAAAAGAATATACAAATATATTGTAGAAAACATAATCTTATCAGGACTGTGTTAAGTACTTCTTGATACTTTGTTTAAAAGTATAAGTGTTTTGAGCTTTACGCATTTTGTTTGGTAGTCCATTCCATAACACTGATCCAGAATAAACAAAAGATTTCTTAAATAGCTCAGCTTTTGGCTTAGGAACTATCAGATTACCTTGAGTGACGCCTCTCAGGGAGTAAGGATTATTATCTGATTTCAGTTTAAACTTTTGAACTAGGTACATTGGTGCTTCCATACGCATACATTTATATAGAAGTAAATATTTGTGGTATTTTATTCTATTGTCAACTGTCATCCACCCAAGTTCTTTAAATAAGGGGGCTGAGGGGGATAAAGGAACTGCATCTAGAATTAATCTTGCTGCCCTTTTTTGGAGTTTTAAAATTCTTGCTATCCCTTCATTTTTACATTCACCCCAAATAATACAGCAGTAGTCAATCAGGGGCAGAATATACCCATTGTAATATGTTTTCCTTGCATTTATATCTAAAAATTTCTTTATTTTAGAAAGGAGGTATATTCTGGATGATATATTAGCACAAACTTGGTCAATTTGATTCTCCAGTTAAGTGTGCTGTCAATTTTAACACCTAATAATTTTTCACATGAAGAATTTTATAATACTTTTGAATCTATTATTAAGTTTGGTTGATAAGTCTGCATTGATAGTTTCTGCTTTGTTCCAGTAACCAAACATTTTGTTTTATTTGCATTAATGAACATGTTATTCATTTTACACCACTCTTCAACCCTGTATAAATCTTCTTGAACATCATCATGTATATTTTCTATGTTTTTCCCTGATTTATGAAGAGTGGTGTCATCAGCATAAAGGTCTGTTTCACAATTTTCAATGCATAAGGGAAGGTCGTTTATAAATAGCACGAACAATAGAGGACCAAGTATAGAACCTTGGGGTACACCAAATTTTACATGTTGTTGTTTAGAGTAAACATTACAAATGTTTACCTGCTGTTTTCTGTTATTCAGGTATGACTTGAAAAAACTAACAGTAACCTCACTAAATCCATAAATTTCAAGCTTTAAACAAAGAATGTCATGATCTACCAAATCAAAAGCTTTTTTAAAATCTAATAAAATTGCTAGGTTTTAATTACCATCATTCATTTCTTGCAACCATTTGTCAATGATATTAATAAGTGCAGTTTGACAAGAATGCTGCGGCCTGAAACCAGATTGTGTAGGGTGTAAAAGTTTAAGTTTAGATAAGTATTTGTACATGTTATTAGAAACATGCCTTTCTATTAATTTTGATAAAGTTGGAAGAACAGATATAGGTCTGTAATTTGTTGCTAAAAGCTTGTCACCATCCTTGAAAACTGGTGTTACCTTAGCATTCTTCAGTAAAGAAGGATATATACCAGTATCTATCATTCTGTTAAATATGTATGTGAGAGGTGATGCAATAACAGGGGCGCTTAATCTTAGGATTTTTGGTCCTATAGTATGCTTCAGACTACAGTCGAGTAATATCAAGTAAATTTCAACCACTTCAGACTGGGTCGAGTAAAAATCAGTTCAGTCGAGTACAGATATAGGACTTTTCAGAATTTTACTGGTTTGTAATGCTAGTTTTTGCCTTTTATCTCAAAAACTACTGTGGATTCATTTATTTTTGTGGATTGAGGAAAAGTTCTATTTTTGTGTATATTTAATTTTGTTGCTTTGCCAAAGTCTGCATACAGGCCTATAGAAAATTTGTACTTGAAATTTGTGGGTTCACCTATACCCACAAAATCCTTGAAACAAGTGTCCCATGAATAATAATGAATCCACAGTATGATAAATAGGTAGAAATTGTAAACAACAAAAATGGCCAGCAATACAAGATCTATACAAAACCAACTGATGACTACTTATAAAAAAAAACAGAGTTATTGCCTTTCAATGATGATTTTTGACAGGGTGAGCGATTGAGGCTCTTAGAAGCCTCTTGTTTTTTCCTCTTCATTAAAATCTGTATGCTTATCTTTAGAATCAATTGAACAGGTAAGTGGCATAGGTCTAGGTATTAAAACTTTTTCAGGCTAATGAACTTCTTAACCATTGTATGATTTTTGATCTTCAATCAATCAGCTGATAATAAATTAGTCACTCTAACTGAATTATTTGACATTATTCTAGAATTGTAGGATATTGGTGAGATATTTACATAATATACAATTTCTGTTTACTGATGTTTATTGCACAACACTGCCACCCTCATTGTATTCCAAAGTGCTGTATAGGAGTATTACTTAATAACATAAGTTTAAATCATGTATACCCATTCTGATTTCATTGTATCCAATTCAGCTATTAATTCATCAATTTGTACATAAAGATTAAACTTGAAATCAGCATAAAAAATGATAATAGAATTTTCCTTTTTTAAGCAGTTGTTTAAGTTATATAATTTGATAGCTTATCATACTAGGACAAAAAAAAACTGACAGATATCAGCTATACATTATACCATTTTTTTCAGTCACGTTTTTAGAAAAACTAACAGTATATGGAAAAACATATGGTTGTTTGCTATTAAATGTTAAATAAGAAATCAGTTCTATAGAAATGGAAATGAGCTCTAAAGTTTACTTATTCAAACAAAAATATATAACTAAATCATGTCTGTGTCTTTTCATCATATACCAAGCCAATATTAATTTTATCAGTTTTATCAAATTTGATTATTATCAAGCGATGGACAATTATTATTCTGTTCTCAACCTATTTGTTTTGAAGGGAAACATGGAAGTTATAAAAATTAAAGGACCTACATCAAAGATCAGTGAGCACTCTTGTTTTGACATTGTATGTCAACAATTTTTTTCCCTTATAGTATGCTTTGGAATGCAATGAAATTTTACACAGTTATTTACCATCATGATATGTGAAACAATTTAAAAAAGAAAACCCCAACCGCCTTATATATACTTAAACATTAAATGAAAACGACTACTGCGTTAATGACAGGCTCTTGGCTTGTGGAAGGCACATGAGGACTCGAATCTCATCAACATATGAACAAATTGTAAAAAATAGGTTTACCTATCAAATACACATTAAATGCAATATATGTATGATATGTTATAAATCAATTAGATCTTTTAATGTATCTATTTTAATATCTCGTAATGAATATTCAGAATTTATGATACATGAAATAATCCCTGATTTTAAGTACACATACATGAAAATTGATTAATTAATGCAACAAAAATATGTGTTCATCCTTGTACATTAATCAGAATAATGATGTGTTTTAGATATACAGATGATGGCCATACAATAGGTACAGCAGAAATCTGTCCAAATCCTATTAAATTAGAATGGGAATTTCCAAAGCCTGTATGTATTATTATAAGTTCAAGGGACTCTTGTTATACCCCCCCCCCCCCCCCCCCCCCCCCCCCCCCCCCCCCCCCCCCCCCCCCCCCCCCAACTTTAGTTGCAGGGCGTAGGTGATATAGGAATCACAATGTCTATTTCTGTGTCTGTTTGTGCGCCTGCAATTTTGTAACATTGAACTAAGGTTGGCCATAGGGGAAAAAGGAGGGGGGGGGGGGGGGGGGGGGGGGGGGGAGGGTCATATACCAAAGTCAGGTCACTTTATTACCTTGTCTGTTGGTATATCTGTCTTTTCCCTGAAATTTCTAGCACATTTTTCTCAGGAACTATAATTCAGAGCTTCATGAAATTTCTTATTAGACTTCATGTGAACATGCTATATCCTGTGATGCCATTTCAGAATCGTCACTCATCAACTTCATGTTTACCGAAAACTATATTTCTAATATTCTAACACATAATGGCAATATATGAATTTTTTGTTGCATTTTTTTTGGGAACTACAAGTCTGTGCACCATGAAATTTACAAGGATCATGTGAACATGTTATACTGTGTGATGGATTTTGATATCTTGTTCTTCATCTTTTCTGTTCATCAAATACTTAAAGCTGGGTATCATTTGTTCTATTTGTTGCAAGGAATAGGTCAAATATGGTTGGAGAATTGTAAGGATAACATGTATGTCTGACAGGGTTCAAATTTTTATGATTCATTGAAAAATTATAATTTTTAGCTCGCCTGGCCTTTTAGGCCAAGTGAGCTTTTCTCATCACTTGGCGTCTGTTGTCGTCGTCTGTTAACTTTTACAAAAATCTTCTCCTCTGAAACTACTGGGCTAAATTTAACCAAACTTGGCCACAATCATCATTGGGGTATCTAGTTTAAAAAAAATGTGTCCGATGACCCCACCTGCCAACCAAGATTGCTGACATGGCTAAAAATAGAACATAGGGGTAAAATGCAAGTTTTGCCTATTATTTGAAAACCGCTATAAATATAGAAAATCTGACAGGGCAAAAATATTCAGAATGTTGAGCTCTACCTGTTATACATTTACGTCAAAACTGTCAGACAACTTTCTTATCAGAGTTATTTCCAATAAGTGATGAATTTTTCCATTTTAAAAAATTTTGCCTATTATCTCGAAAAATTATTATAGATAGATAGAAACTTTAACGAGCAAAAATGATCAGAAAGACAAGATTTACAAATAAGTCAACATGACAGAAATTGTTAGTTGACTCCTTATTGTAGTTATTGCCCTTTAATGATGATTTTTTCCCATTATTGCCTAATCTTGAAAACTGTAATAGATAGATAGAAACTTTATTTAGCACAAATGATCAGCAAGACAAGATCCACAAATAAACCAAATGGCCAAAATCTTCAGTCGACTCGTTATTGGAGTCATTGCCCTTTAATGATAATTTTAACATTTTTTTGAATTTTTTTACTATTATCTTGAAAACTATGATAGATAGATAGAAACTTTTAAAAAGGAAAATTATCAGCAGGATAATTTCTACAAATATGTCAACATGACTGAAATTGTCAGGTAACTTCTAATAGAGTTATTCCCCATTAATGATGATTTTTACTATATTGTGGCTATTGTTGAAGATGCAGGTGAGCGACACAGGCTCTTTAGAGCCTCTAGTTTATGTCCCCACAGTAAAAGTGTGGGCTGTATTGCAATCACCTTTGTATGTTCGTCAAATATTTTTGTTGCATTTTCGCAACAATCACAGAACATATTGATTTCATATCTGGTTACCAGCTTGACAATGATGAGTTGTAAGGTGTGAGCGCTTTTGGATCTTTCAGATACTTTCTTTCTGTTTGCTATACTTCGGATTTTTTAATATGTTGAATGAACTTTAAATTTTTCGTCACACTTTTCTCAAAAACTAATAAACAGAATGACTTCATAAATGGTCAGCAGCTCACCAGTGATGAATTCTAATGTGTGTGCTTTCGAGATCTGTCAGACACCTACATCCAGTTTTCAAATACTTTGAATTTCGAGTGGGGATATGCTTACCACAACAACATGTGTATTCTTGTTGTAATTTCATCAGTTCCTCAATAACTATAAGTTATAGGTCAAGTATATTTGTGTTAAAAAACCATTGTAAGGTAAACATGTCCATCTGAAAGGGTTTCCTCTAACCTTGTCCTTATGGGTCATTGATCAATGCTAGATTTTTTGTGATACCTGTAGCAAGACCTTGATCTCAACGACATAAAATTGTGTCATTTCTGTTGAGCAGACATTACATTTCAGCATGTCCACACTTGTTTATAGTTCATGTATCACCAGAAGACAATGTGTCATGTACCATAATGATTGACATATGATCTCAAGGTCAAGTTATTATTTTCACTACATGCATAATTGACTTGACCTAAAATATTATTTTATAAATAAGAAGATGTGGTATGAGTGCCAATGAGACAACTATCCATCCAAGTCACAATGTGTAAAAAGTAAACAATTATAGGTCAAAGTACGGCCTTCAACATGGAGCCTTGGCTCACACCGAACAGCAAGCTATAAAGGGCCCCAAAAAGACTAGTGTAAAACAATTCAAACAGGAAAACCAACAGTCTAATCTATATTAAAAACGAGAAACAAGAAACACTTATGCACCACAACAACAAAAGACAACCACTGAAAAACAGGCTCCTGACTTAGGACATTTGTATCTTTGTCACAATTTATTTTTTTTTAATTTTAATAATATTTGGCAAACACTTTTCAAAAATGCTATAATATTGTCAAAGGAGAAGTAAACTTTTACCATGCATGACTTAAAAGGAAGTACTTTATCGATTTTACCCCACTAAAGAAGGTTAACATGCGGAAACCATGTAGATGGTGTACAGGTCACAAATATCACATGATGCCTACTATAAGATTTTAGTTCCAAGTTAAAAGTTTTTTTACTTAACTGGATTAATAGGAATTTGACATTGGAATTAATTGTATAAAACTGGAATTTCAAAACCAATAATTACATTTTTTTGGCTAAAACATCAAGATACAACGATTATGGTATCCTGTATCAATTAAGAAAACGTGGAAATTTCGGAATGAATTGCACTATTTTTTTTACAAAACAAACACATATTTAGGAGTTTTATAGTAATACTATTACATTTAAGACAGATTTTAACCGGAGATGCAAATCTAAATGCATAAGTATGCCAGTAGTAAATCAATACATGGAAACCGCCAATGTTGTATCCAGTTCAGTTGTATGCGTCACAATTTCATAGCTTTTCAAAAGTGTTATTTCCCTTCAGGTAAGTAGTGCGGGTTCACTGCCTGCATGGCCAATATATCAAAACACTTTTCTTTTCAACTTAAAAGTAACATTTTGCTTTGAAAATATGTTCACCTATATCAAATTTGCCATGATAAAACATTGCATGAAATAACATGTCACTTTAATGTTGACATGTAAAATAAGCTTTTTACAGTTGCCCTTGCTGAAAGGAACTATAGGGTTCTGTTTAATCTAAGGATTTGTGACTTTGAAGATCGGTCATAATTTGTATTGAATGATAAGAAGTTACAATCAAACTTGTGACCTTTAAAAAAACGAGCCCAATGACAACTTACCAGAATTTTTTTTAATCAGATTTATATATTTGTGGTCACAAATTTTGGAAAGAAATTGAGTGAAATAAACCGGGCTATTCTTTTTGGTATATCAGGTTTTTGGTTATATTTCTGTAATCCATAGTACTTAATTGTAATTTTCAAGCAGTTTTAATGAATGGGTGTGAACAATTATAGGATTTCATTGAATTTCTATACACCCACATAATGTTTTGTAAATGGAATCTTGTCTATATAAAAAAGAAGATGTGGTATGATTGCCAATTAGACAACTCTCCACAAGAAACCAAATGACACAATAATTTACAGCTGAACTATAGGTCACCGTAAGGCCTTCAACAATGAGCAAAGCCCATACCACATAGTCAGGTATAAAAGGTCCTAAAATCACAAATGTAAAACAATTCATACTTTTATTGGAAATAAGAAGATGTGGTATGAGTGCCAATGAGACTCTCCATCCAAGTCAAAATTTATTAAAGTAAACCAATATAGGTCAAAGTACAGTCTTCATCACGGAGCCTTGTCTCACACTGAACAGCAAGCTATAAAGGGCCCCAAAATTACTAGTGTTAAACCATTCAAATGGGAAAACCAACAGTCTAATTTATATAAAAACATGCAATTTTACAAAAAGCAAGGGACAGGGTGGACGTTTCAAGATACTACTTATACTGTGGAGAAAATGGACATCAAAATCATTAAGGATGGCATATTTTGGTATTAATATTGATTCAATCATAGGGTCTTTGCATTGGAAATAAACACATTTATTCTAAAACCAGTTGTTGGCATGATACAGGTTATGTTCTTCTCATATATTTTATGATGGTATGATACTAAACCTCTAACGGGAGGGATTGTACTTGATTTTCATATGATGAAGACCTAATCTTTCAATCAGTTTAATTGAGGTTTGGAGCTGGCATGTCAGTAACTGCTAGTAGTCCTTTGTTCATTTATGTATCATTGTCATTTTGCTTAGTTTCTTTTGTTACCTATTCTGACATCGGACTCAAGACTTCTTTTAAACCAGGGGCATAGCTTCCCGGAGGCACGGCAGCACGTGCATCCACGTCGTTTTCACAAAAAAAAAAACAGAGAGAGAGAGTGAGGGACAAAGTTAACATATAGGAATTGGTCTTTCTATGTATGCATTTTAAAAACTGCACAAAGAATTAAAGCAAGAGGAATACACATGCAGTGGAATTTTTAATCCTGTAAGACATGTATGTGTATGATAAATACATACAACTGGTGTAAACTTAGAGGAACTTTTTATATTACGGGCATTGTTTAGAAAATACCAGCTACATAGTTGTTGGTACCACAACAATACCGTATACTCGCTTTGAGTGCAAAAAAAAACATAATCCCTTCAGGATTAACAAAAAAACTTGTAAATTATTATTTTCCGCTTCTCCCCAAAGCACACATCTTACTAGAATGAAGACTCTTCAACTCGTACCGATCCAGGAATAATGACTGTTGCCCTTGTGAACTAGTTCAATATTGACTAAGTATGTAGGTCTTGACAACACGAATAGTTCATTTTCATATCACTTCAACGTATCTCTCCTGTGTGCATGTAATATTTGCTACCGGACATTATTAACCATTCAATCAATCAATAGTTTCCATATACTAGTAGATGAGAAGTTGGAACTGCTGTTATTATAAAAAAAAAGTACACATTTTCCAGTACATGTTTTACGTTTTTATTTATTTTACAAAAAAAATCTTTGATATAGATTCGATAATTCGAAGTCGTTTCTATATGGGCCGGCTATACGAATGGTTGATTGTAAAACCATTTAAATAAATTGTTAATTCTGACTCGTTTTACTGGACTATATGGTCATTCAATTTTAAAAAGAACTGTCTGTCCGAGTAGGACACTAAACTGCTGATTCTTGTTCGAAAGATACACCAAACTTTTATTACACGTATCTTCACTGTTAACATCTAGATATTGCCATACAACTGGTCGAATGCATATGCATTTGTTAATTAGCTGGCTAATTAAAAACGCAGATCATGAAAAAGATCGTGATCAAAGTACCATTTCCTCTGAAAAAGTTCATTAATTTCAACTTCGAATATTCCTAACTACGTAAAACTCGAAATTCCCATCTCTCTCTTGTAGAGTTTACCCACAAAATTTTTAAACATCTAAATACATATGTTAAGCAAAATATATGAGAATGTGTCCACCAAGTATTTGGTATCCATGATGTTTATGCTAACAGAAACTCCTCATATAGTATTGTGTTTATGTTTATTGTTTGTTTTTTTTAAATCTACTTTGCTCAATACAAATACTAGCATATGGAACAAATCTCCGTGATTTTAAAACATTTCACGTACAAAAAACGAAAGCGACAGTGTTAAGTCTTCATTCGACTTGAAGTTAAACAAATAGTTGACCAAAAAACCACAACAAAAATGTCCAAGTTTTATTTCGGTTGTGATTGTTTTGAAACGCTATATATGCGGAGCTTTCGGGGGGCTTCGTCCCCCTGGCCCCCCTACCAGGGCTTTGCCCTGGACTTACTGGGGGCCTTAGGCGGCCCCTAGACCCCTCGCCCTTTAGTTTGTGATTCCACTTCATTAAGAAGGTAGCTACGCCCTTGTAAACTGAGTTTTACTGTGCATATTGCTATATGTGTTTCTTTTTTCTACATTGACTAGAGGTATAGGGGGAGGGTTGAGATCTCACAAAACATGTTTAACCCCGCTGCATTTTTGCGCCTGTCCCAAGTCAGGAGCCTCTGGCTTTTGTTAGTCGTATATTTTTTAATTTTAGTTCATTTATATGTTTTGGAGTTTAGTGTGACATCCATTTTCACTGAACTAGCACACAATTTTATTTAGGGGCCAGCTGAGGACCACCTCCGGGTGCGGGATTTTCTCGCTGCATTGAAGACGCATTGGTGGACTTCGGCTGTTGTCTGCTCTTTGGTTGGGTTGTTGTCTCTTTGACATATTCCCCATTTCCATTCTCAATTTTATTTTTATCACTAATATATTGGATGTTCCAAACATTAATATGTTTGTTGGATCACGCTTTTTGTTTTGTGTTCAATAAAATTTAGAAATTTAAAATGTCCTGCATCTTTCCAATTGAATCAAAAGTGAGAACTGAGAAAGTGCCTCCAAACACCCTCATACATTCAGTTCTGGAACAGCCCTTTATAGAAAAGTACATTATATAAGATAAGTAGCACTAGCTAGATCTCCCTGTTTATACAGTGCTTGAATTTTCTGGTTAGTGACGCATAAGCACAAAGTGTAAACCATGCAATTGTGTTACAGAGCTAGATAGCACACTGCATGAGGTTTCTAAGGGTTAGTAGGCACATGTGCTACATATAAAAGTGTATAAGAATTATAACAAAAAGTAAGAGAAAATACATTGGTAGTCAAATCAGTTGGCGCCCAAAAAATAATTTATTTTAGTGACACCCTTGTTTCTATATTCTCATAGTTTTTATTGTCTATTGGAAAAAAAATTATCAAAAACAGTCCTAAATTAAAAAAACCAAAGTTATAAGTAACATTATCAAGAAAAAGTTTACTGTTCTGATTATTTTAAGCTGATTTTCCAATAAAATAAAACTAAAAAAAATGCTTTCGGTTTCTTATGGTTTCCTGTCGCATTTAAAAAAAACCTTAATTTAACATTGAAAATAGATTTTAAATATTAACATGAAGCAAGTAACACTAGTAATTGTGTTCATTTATGTCTTTTGAAATAAATTGTACAAAATAAAGAAAATAAAGTTTTGTTTCCTGTTTGGTTTCTTGTCACGAAAACGGTGAATCACAATGGATTAATTTTTGCTCGAAAAACCCACTTGTTCCATTAATACTATTCTCACACCAACACAACCCACAGAATAAAAGTTAAAGTTTTAGAACTTTAAAAAAAAGATACAAAAAGAAACCAAAGGCCGAATACCAAATTATTGCCCATATTAAAAATAGGAAGACGAGATCTAACACAAAATAAGTAAACATTGAATAACAGAAATGAATTACAAATTGTGTCAACAGGTCAAATTAACATGAAAGTACGATTTGAGAGTACTAGCAGTAACTTACTGAAAGCTAGTTAAAAGCCAAAAACAATTAATTATAAAAAATCATGCATCAGAGACTAAAATCAATCAAAACACATCCCAGGCAGGGATTTAGTGTTTTAACACCATGGACAGTCAAAGAAGACATGACTTGTGCAATGCCAAAATAAAAGTAATGACAGGCAGTAGGATAGTTAGGATTCAACCTTATAATAAATATGTATGATGTTATGTATAGATAAAACAATTTCTAAATAGAAATAAACGTGGATGTGTATATATACATCCCAAAAAAACATTCAAAAAGAATACAAATTTAGTTATGTTTTAATTTGTTGCTGACAAAATTGATGTTAGTGCCATTGAAAACAATATTCAAAGATCTTATTACAACATTAATAAGATAACCTTTACTAATAAGTTTGTTAAAAGGTTTAAAGGTTCGATAAGTTTACACGGATCACATAGTGATTTCCGCACTTTTAGTACAATATTACAGTAAAACCATGTTTTGATATGATATGCAGGTGGGTCGAGGCCAACAATTTGTTATTTGTCTTATGTTATAATACAATATTCATTATATTACATTTATGTGATAAAGACCTGTTCCTTGGGAAATTATCTTTTGATCACACGTTTGATGATAGCTGATTTTTGTGTTTCACTTTTTGTCTGAAAAAAATCTCATTTGGACACTTATGGTGCAGCAGTTTACATAAAATATTAGTATGATTAAATCTATACTTGTCAGTTATTGATTCCAAGTGTAATGAGATTTGTGTATTTTAGTGTTTACAGGTAATAGAGAACAGTTTGGAAGTTGCTAAACAGCTCCTGAATGATGTTGATCTGCATTTACTATACCATAATCAGTATGGAAAAGGCTTTATGAAATCTGTCAAGATGAGTCCAGATGCATACATACAACTTGCATTACAGTTGGCCTACTACAGAGTAAGTGATAGCAGGCTTATAATTATTCTGCAATTGAGCCAAATGTTTCATATACACTTTAAGGGAATAAGTAAAATTTCACATTTTTGTAAAGATTATAAACCTTGAGCTGTCGTAATTAAGATGGTTTTAAAACTGTTTTCATTTGGATTTTAGAAAAGTAAGTTATTAACAATACTGCTATTCAAATTAATTGTCCATAGTGCAACATGTTGCAGGGAACATAGCAATTCTGTCCGTCAAGTCTTAAAAGCACTCTCACATGTACAATTCTGGCAAGATTTTTATGAAATTTATATCAAAGATTTATATTAGCAAGTTAAAAAATAACGCTGATCTTTTTTTTTAACGGAGGTTTGCCCCTTGGAAATATAGATAATATAGAAAGTAGCATTGTAAGTGCTCTCAAGTGTACAATTCTTGCCAGATATTTTTGAAATTTATATCAAAGGATCATATTTGTAATGTCTCAGACAAATTTGAAAATCTGTGCCTATCATTTTTTTTAAAAAGAGTTATGCCCCTTGTCTACATTCTTAGACACTTACATTCTTGTAGGATTGTTATGAAATTTAAATCATAGATTCATAATTTATCTTCAATGTCTTGGGTGAGTTCAAAAATCAGAGCTGATCTATCATTTTTACAGGAGTTATGTCATTTTGAAATGTAATTGATATTGAATGTTGCATTGTAACCACCTTCACACCTACATTTCTTGGAATTTTTTTTTTATGAAGTTAATAGCCAAGGCTGATATCAGCAAGGTCGCAGAAGAGTGCAGACAAACTATTTTTCAGGAGTTATGCCTCTTGGAAATAAAAACATTGTAAGCAATCTCATGCCTACTTGTACAACATTTATTAAAACGTTTAAAAAGATATTTTGTTTTGTAGAAATTGCCCTTTAACATATAAAATATGAGCAATGTGGTAGACAGACAACACCAAAAAATGACATTTAAATAATGTGCAACATCTCTAAGCCACCCTTTAAACCTTAACCAGTATTCATAGGCATACAAGTAGATAGTCTTTTTTCTTGTGATTTGTATTGTTTTTGCAGACAGCAAAGAAATTTGACTTGACCTATGAATCATCCATGACCAGGTTGTTTAGGGAAGGTAGAACAGAGACTGTGCGATCTTGTACTGTAGAATCTTGTCAGTTTGCGAAAGCTATGGATGACCCAACTGTAACTGTAAGTATTAAAAAGTATTCTGTTTTATTACCTGTGGAATGAATGAATCAGACAGCAAATACATCGCTGTTAGTATTGCAGCAAAGGCGTTGATGAATGTTAAGGTTTTTGTTTAAACCCACACACACGAAAAAAATACACCATAAACTACTTGTATAAAGTACTTTGGATTCAGTATTATTTGGAGGTTCTTATTTTTATACGACCGCAAAAATTAAAAATTTTTTGGTCGTCGTCGTCGTCGTCGTTGTCGTCGTCGTCGTCGTCCGGCGTCGTCCGAAGACACATTGGTTTTCGCACTCTAACTTTAGTTTAAGTGAATGGATCTCCATGAAATTTCACCATAAGGTTCAATACCACAAAAGGAAGGTTGGGATTGATTTTGGGGGTTATGGTACCAACAGTTAAGGAATTAGGGGCCAAAAAGGGGCCACAAATAAGCATTTTTGTAACTTTCAGACAATAACTTGTGTGGTAGTGTATGGATCTCTCTGACATTGTACCACAAGGTTCCATATCACAAAGGGAAGGCTGTAATTGATTTTGGGGGTAATTGCCTCAAAATTTTAGGAATTAGGGGCCAAAAAAGGGGCAAAAAACAAGCATTTTTCTAGTTTCATGACAATAACTTGTGTGTAAGTGTTTGGATATTTCTGAAATTGTACTACAAGGTTCCATATCACAAAGGGAAAGCTGGAATTGAGTTTGGGGGTAATTGCCCGAAACGTTTAGGAATTGGGGGCCAAAAAGGGGCCAAAAATAAGCATTTTTCTAGTTTCCAGACAATAACTTGTGTTCAAGTGTATGGATCTCTCTGAAATTGTACTGCAAGGTACCATACCACAAAGGGAAGGCTCGGATTGAGTTTTGGGGTGATGAATCATAAGGGGGTTCAAAAAATTGGGGGGGGGGGATTTTTTTTTTTTTTTTTTTCTTTTTTTCCTTTTTTTTTTCTTTTAAAATTTTCCATTTTAAGTTGGTTATTTCTGATTTATATTTAAAAGCAAATAATAATGATATGGTAGGAGATACACACCAAACAGGATGTGTAAATTATTATATAATAAGTATTGTGCAATAGCAAGAAATTTTCAATTGCACAGTATTGCACAATAGCAAGAAATCTTCAATTGCACAGTATTGCGCAATAGCAAGAAATCTTCAATTTAACAGTATTGCGCAATAGCAAGAAATATCCAATAGCACAATATTGCGCAATAGCAAGAAATTGTCAATTGTACAGTATTGCGCAATAGCAAGAAATATTCAATTGCACAGTATTGTGCAAAAGAAGATACTTCGTATAAATTGCTTATTTCTTGATCAATTTCAATGGGGTTTTATTCTTGAATTCTTGGGGTTCTTTAATATGCTGAATCTAACCGTGTATTAAGTTTTTGGATTTTGGGCCCCGTTTTTAAATTGGTCCACATTGAGGTCCAAAGGGTCCAAAATTAAACTTTGTTTGATTTCATCAAAAATTGAATTATTGGGATTCTTTGATATGCCGAATCTAACCGTGTATTTAGATTTTTAATTTTGGGTCCCGTTTTTTAAATTTGTCTACATTAAGGTCCAAAGGGTCCAAAATTAAACTTAGTTTGATTTTAACAAAAATTGAATTCTTAGGGTTCTTTGATATGCTGAATCTAAACATGTGTTTAGATTTTTGATTATGGGCCCAGTTTTCAAGTTGGTCCAAGTTGGGGTCCAAAATTAAACTTTGTTTGATTTCAACAAAAATTGAATATATGGGGTTCTTTGATATGCTGAATCTAAACATGTATTTAGATTTTAGATTTTTGGCCCAGTTTTCAAGTTGGTCCAAATTGGGGTCCAAAATTAAACTTTGTTTGATTTCAACAAAAATTGAATATATGGGGTTCTTTGATATGCTGAATCTTACCATGTATTTAGATTTTTTATTTGTGGGCCTGCTATCAAATTGGTTCATATTGAGGTCAAAAGGGTCCAAAATTAAACTTTGTTTGATTTCATCAAAAATTGAATTAATGGGGTTCTTTGATATGCCAAATCTAACCGTGTATTTAGATTTTTAATTTTGGGTCCTGTTTTTTAAATTGGTCTACATTAAGGTCCAAAGGGTCCAAAATTAAACTTAGTTTGATTTTAACAAAAATTGAATTTTTGGGGTTCTTTGATATGCTGAATCTAAACATGTGTTTAGATTTTTGATTATGGGACCAGTTTTCAAGTTGGTCCAAGTTGGGGTCCAAAATTAAACTTTGTTTGATTTCAACAAAAATTGAATATATGGGGTTCTTTGATATGCTGAATCTAAACATGTATTTAGATTTTAGATTTTTGGCCCAGTTTTCAAGATGGTCCAAATTGGGGTCCAAAATTAAACTTTGTTTGATTTCAACAAAAATTGAATATATGGGGTTCTTTGATATGCTGAATCTTACCATGTATTTAGATTTTTTATTTGTGGGCCCGCTATCAAATTGGTTCATATTGAGGTCAAAAGGGTCCAAAATTAAACTTTGTTTGATTTCATCAAAAATTGAATTATTGGGGTTCTTTGATATGCCAAATCTAACTGTGTTTTTAGATTTTTAATTTAGGGTCCCGTTTTTTAAATTTGTCTACATTAAGGTCCAAAGGGTCCAAAATTAAACTTAGTTTGATTTTAACAAAAATTGAATTCTTCGGGTACTTTGATATGCTGAATCTAAACATGTGTTTAGATTTTTGATTATGGGACCAGTTTTCAAGTTTGTCCAAGTTGGGGTCCAAAATTAAACTTTGTTTGATTTCAACAAAAATTGAATATATGGGGTTCTTTGATATGCTGAATCTAACCATGTATTTGGATTTTGGACCATAATAGGTAAATTAAAAAAATTGAAGTTCTTAGACCACATTCTTTCTGTGTCAGAAACCTATGCTGTGTCAAATATTTAATCACAATCCAAATTCAGAGCTGTATCAAGCTTGAATGTTGTGTCCATACTTGCCCCAACTGTTCAGGGTTCGACCTCTGCGGTCGTATCAAGCTGCGCCCAGCGAAGCATTTTATTATGGGTTAAGATAAACCGCAAATTCAAGTGTTGAACTATTAAAATACATATTTCTCATAGGCTTATTCTATACAAGCCTAAGAGAAATATGTATTTTGTTCAACGTATTGGTTGGAACCAGGAAATCAAGTAGCCACAAAAAAACAATGTTGTACATGTATACTAAGTAGTGATAGATTTATTTCTGGTGAGCCATTTACTGCCATGTGACATACATTCCATTTTGTCCTAAGTTGCAACACAGACATATAGAAATCAGTGTGTTCTTCCTTCTGGTCAAGTAAACACTTGCTCTCACATCTACAATTCTTGCCAGATATTTATGATATTCATATCATTGTTTATAATAGCAATGTCTTGAACGAGTTCAAAAATCAGTACCTATTAATTAAGATTAATGCTTAATCATATGAAAAATTGCATTGCAAGTAATCTCAAACCTACATTTCTTGTAGAATTGTTGGAAATTTACCTAATCAAAGTCTTGAAGGGAATTAGAAAATCAGTGCAGATCAACTCTTGTTTTTATGCACCCGCCGTAGCAGAGGGGGCATTAAGTTTTACCCTTGTCCGTCTGTACGTAGTCCCAAAGTTGGTTTCCGTTCTCTAACTTTAGTTTGCCTCAACCAAATGTTATTAAACTTATACACAATGCTTATTACCACTAAATACAGATCAAGTTTGAATTTTGGTGGCGTCACTTATCCCGTTCTAGAGTTATGCCCCTTTATAAATGGAAAAATTGCTAAATTTTTCGTTTCCGTTCTTTAACTTAAGTTTGCCTCATCCAAATGTTATGAAACTTATACACAATGCTTATTACCATAATATACAGATCAAGTTTGAATTTTGGTGCCGTCACTTATACTGTTCTAGAGTTATGCCCTTTACAAATGGAAAAACTGATAAATTTTTTCATTTTTTTCTAAATATCAAGTTATTTTTAAAATTGGAGTTATCTTCCTTTGTCCATGATTATAGTTGAATCAACTACAATCAATGCTTTATACAATGCAATGTTTAATTTTGCCTTCCACTGATAAATTAAAGTAATTTTTACACTTCATTTCTAAAAATATCTTAAAGTCTTCTTTGAAAATTGAGTTATCTTTTTTTGTGCATAATGGTAGTTGAATCGACTACAACCAATGCTTTATACAATGCAATATTCAATTTTATTTCCTACTGATAAATTAAAGCAATCTTTACCATTCAGTGCTTATAAGCACTTTGATTACCATTCTAGGGTTATGCCCCTTTACAAATGAAAAAATTGCTGAATATTTCGTTTCTGTTCTCTAACTTGAGTTTGTCTTAACTAAATGTAATTTCTTAAAATATCAATGTCATTATTCAAGTAATTTTTAAAATTTGAGTTATCTTCCTTTGTCCATGATTATAGTTGAATCAACTACAATCAATGCTTTATACAATGCAATGTTTAATTTTGCCATCACTGATAAAACACAGATCAAGTTGAATTTGGGTAGTGTCACTTTAACCATTATTGAGTTATGCCCCTTTATAAATTGAAACATTGCAAAATTTTTAGTTTCCATTCTGTAACTTAAGTTTGCCCCAACCAAAAATTATGAAACCTTTACACAATATTCATTACCACAAAACTAAGATCAAGTACAAATTTTTTGTTTCCGTTCTCTAACTTTAGTTTGCCTCAACCAAATGTTATGAAACTTATACACAATGCTTATTACTACATAATACAGATTAAGTATGAAATTTGGTTAGAACACTTTTACCATTCTTGAGTTATGTCCCTTTATAAACATAAAAATTGCTGAATTTTTAGTTTCTGTTCTCTATTTAAGTTAGCCTCAACCAAATGTTATGAGACTTACACACAATGCTTATTACCACAAAACTCAGATCAAGTTCAAATTTGCGTAGCATCACTTTTACTGTTCTTCAGTTATGTCCCTTTATAACTATATGATA